AGGTATTTATATACAATGACTCGACCGACAAAGATATCAATATTTACGTAACATAATAGTTTCTTTAAAATGGTTAAGGTATTTATATACAATGACTCGACCGACAAAGATATCAATATTTACGTAACATAATAGTCTCTTTAAAATTGTTAAGGTATTTATATACAATGACTCGACCGACAAAGATATCAATATTTACGTAACATAATAGTTTCTTTAAAATGGTTAAGGTATTTATATACAATGACTCGACCGTACCTTTAAAAAGGCTATTTTTGTTTCTACAATAACCAAACATATGTTGTACCCCTTTAACAATGGTAATTTTACTTCTTCAATAACCCAATCTGTGACATATCTTTAACAAGGCTAATTTTAATTCTACAATAACATAACCAAAACTGTGCCGTACTTTTAACAAGACTAATTATGATTCTCAATAACTAAAACATAAACCTAGAGGTTAGGGCGATCGACTCGTAATATGTGGGTCGTGGGTTCGAATCCCTTCATCGAACAAGCTTACACTTTTAGCCGCGAGGTCACTATAATGTGAATCTCTCCCTCTAGGCTATCACTTCTAAATTAGATACTGCTAGTGTAGAGTACCCTCGAGTAACTTTGCGTAAAATTCAGTAAACAAAGATACAAAAACTATAACAACCATATAAATGATAATTCTGTTTTCCTTAAAAAGCACAGAAGAACTTTTTCAAAGTAATTTTTTAGAAAGAGTATCGGTATAATTTATGTTAAACACCTTACCTGTTTTATGTCGCCGATAGATGTCAGCACAGAATGCTGAAAACTTACAACCAGTTCTTTTCCACTTCTACTTTCTAGTTGCAAAGAAGTAAGATTAAAGCATACAAGAGTTTCACCTGTTAGTTGAAAGAATCTTAAGCCTTAAATTATTTTAACTTGAACAAGGAGCTAACTCTGAAATGAAAATATTTTACCCCACTTTTTCTTTTCCAAAATAATCAGAAAAGGTGGCCATTTCTGGGATATGACAGGAAGCGTTTTTATATTGCAGACGTAAACATCAAGCCAGATTTGAAAGCATAGGTAATTTTTTTTATTAAACATAAAGGAATACTTTGAACAATCATCACATTTAAGTTACTTCAGATTTTGACATATGAGGAAGAAAGTAAGTATCTTTTATCAGTTGAACAATAGATTTAAGAAAATATTATGTTACATAAAATTTAATATCTTTAACGGTTGAATCACTTGATTTTAACACTTATATGACTACAGACTAGGCTTTAAAGTTTAACAAACCATTACGTTACAAAAAGGCTAATCTTTTTGACACTCTGTTTTAACACTTTAACTATTGCTTTTAACAAAATATCGTATTTCATAAAGAATAATGTCTTACAGTTAGAGTCAATTTATGTTCAGACCTTAACCATTTCTATCAAACTATTATGTTACGTAAAGCTTAATTTATTTGACGGTTGAATCACTGTGTTTAACACCTTAAGAAAGTGTTATGTTACGTAAATATTGATATCTTTATCGGTCGAGTTACTGTATTTAAATACCTTAACCATTTTAAAGAAACTATTATGTTACGTAAATATTGATATATTTGTTGGTAGAGTCACTGTATATAAATACCTTAACCATTTTAAAGAAACTATTATGTTACGTAAATATTGATATCTTTGTTGGTCGAGCTACTGTATATAAATACCTTACCCATTTCTATCAAACTATTATGTTACGTAAATATTGATATCTTTGTTGGTCGAGTCATTGTATACAAATACCTTAACCATTTTAAAGAAACTATTATGTTACGTAAATATTGATATCTTTGTCGGCGTATGTTTGGTTATTGCAGAAACAAAAATAGCCTTTTTAAAGGTACAACGTATGTTTGGTTATTGCAGAAACAAAAATAGCCTTTTTAAAGGTACAACGTATGTTTGGTTATTGTATAAT